TTCGTTTAGATTCATCTAAACGAAGAAAACCAGGTAACCAGGCACTGAACTATTTTCTTATGGCGTTCGTCATTTTCGTTCTAGGCGAATTCTTTGCAACTAAGAATTAAATTGACGATACATGTCCGAATTCGTGATCACAGAAAGATTTGACTCGCACTTTATTAATTCTCATGTGTCCCATTGAAAGGGATTATTAATAGAAAGGGGCACTCAAGTTTGTAGAGCGTCATTTGTTACAAGTATTTAGTAGGAAAACAACTCATTTAAAATTTGAAATATTCTATACCATTTCGGTAAAAATCGAGACATATATGAATTTACGGCTACTGAATCCAGTAACAATACTCTACTTCTCCGTTTCCTGGGCATTCCTTATCAGAAAGCTGATTATTTACTGATTTTCCGGAATTTGACGTCATAGATCATCGGAATTGATATCAACATCAATCATTTGCATCAATTTTAGTTTTTCCAAGCGATATATCAACACTTTTGAATTGTCTTCCTCAGCTTCAACTGCGAAATAAATAAGGCAAGTATGCGAATGACGGCAACAAAATTCATTATGTTAGTAGACGACACGAGCAAGTGTCAATCTGGATTACCTATTCATGATGCAATATTTGTTATATTTGTCATTTTAGATGTAGATGTAGATTTGGCTAGATCAAAATATAAAGCTCTGAGCTAGATCAAGATTGGGTAAAACTTAATCTAATTAATGATTAACGATTATGATTAATATGAATTTAGAATTAATCATAATTAGTAATTAATAATCACTGATTAATTAATAAGGATAATGTAATCATGAAATGATTGTACTTTTGATTATGCTATAATCTGTAACATACTTGTAAAAAAAAAACATTTGCGAACATTTTATGATTGTGGCATATTCAGTATTCTAATACTGAATGAATACTCAGTATTTTATGATGTGATGACACATATTTATTATTTTTATTGCTTTGAGGAAATACAGTAATAGATAGTAATCGCATTTTATATAATTATACATATAAGAGATATAAGAATTTGTTGTGCTTTTTCAAATATTTAAAAAAAATTTTCCGTCGATTGAATGACTAATCTGCATAATTTTTAAGTTACCGTCTTCTATATGATTTAATGATATATTTAACGAATCAAAATTTTAAGACTCTTTACTATGACACGCATTCATTTTTATGCTAAAGATATACATACAGAGTGAGTCTCGTAATGTGACGACGAGATTAACGGTCTCTTCTAATACAATGTAAAAAAAATATTTTTTGCTAATATCTTAGTAACTATGTATTTTAGATCCTATTAGGTGTAATACTATTTTATGTAGAATCCAACGCTTTATCCGAATTCGGGGAAAAATATTAACTATTTCATTTAAAAGATTGAAGACGATCTTCATATCTTGATAAAAAAGCAAAATAACATAAAACTGATTGCAGTACCACATGTCACCCTGGAAACCATGCAACTTCTATCTGAAACATTTTTCGTACAACAAATATTTTGTGAGTTATTTAAGGTTGTCTCGTTATGACTATATTAGAGAGTAATTAAACATCAGCAAATTAGAAACACAACAATACAGGAAACAATCGATATTATTATACAAAAATATGCGTAGATATTTTCTTAAGCTTTGGTATACAATTGAGTTGTGAATTCAAACGATACAAGCAGCTTTAAGATGATAAATGTATCATATGTATAGAGATTTGAATGATGACTGAAAAGCACAGACTTAGGCGTTTAGGCGTTTCAGCTATTAATACGTTCAGCAGTGATGCTATAAATTTGCACATTCACGTCTAGATTGAATATATTAAAGCAATATGAAGAAGTATAAGAAATCTACATACATACTCTATATAAAACATAAAATCTACATAAAACATTAACATAAAACATTAAATCTGCATAAAACATATGCGTAATGTGTGTAACGTATAATATAATTTCCAATATACAAATATATAGTACACATTCTAATAAAATATAAATTGATTACTCAATGATTTAAAGATTACAATGATTAATGATTACAAATTATAAAAATTAATCACAATTACCGATTTATTTATTTTAACAATGATTAATGATTACAGTTTCCATGATTACATTTAATAATTGATTACAGAAATGATTATAAAATAATTGATTATTGCCAAACTCTGAGCCAGATTAAAGGACTACGAATTGCTGATATAAATTGATTTTATTGGACAAACATACTGGATATATCATTCACACTCATTGTAAATATTACGTGGATATAAATGTGTTAAATATTAAGGTTTAGCGTATAGATATTTGTTTAATTATATGTGTATCCATATATTTTGTTTCACATCCTTTGGACTTTTGGGTATATGTAATATTTAGTGTTTAGATATATGACTGCATAGTTACCTTTAGGTTAATGTTTTGTGCAATTTCATTGCTTAATGTTGAACGCGGAGTATTCAAAGTGGATGGTTATATCTCGGAAACTCTGAATGGTGTCCTGATTTATGGCACAACCAAGGAGTCACGTTATGTTTAAAGAGAAAACTCAACAAGAAGACTTTAAGACCTTAAGACCTTCCATTAAAATTGAAGGATCGGGTTATATTCGTATGCTTTTCAATAACGTACAATGGAAGTTCAATGGATGTTCCCAAAAATATTTGAACAAAACGCGCTCCATGCAGAGTTGACAAGAAATGTCAACGATTTTTCCCCATTTGAGACCCGAAAATTTCCAGAACCAATAAGAAGGGAAACGAAGGAACTTTCTTTAAATTTCCATTAGCTCGTCTGACCTGTGAGGGACACTCGCTTTGACCTGGAATCACCTATAGATCGCCTGCTGAGTATTCTCCGGCAATCGGAGAATAATATTGCTTTGGGGTCGAAAGGACAGTCCCTTCATGGTCCACCTAAATATGTTTGTTAATTGTGATGATGCAAAAAATATCCAAAAGGCCAGTAACTGATAAGAATATATATTTCAAGGTCATTTTTTTCAGACTTTTTAAGATCATTGATTTTTTTTCATATACATGTATATATATTTTTTATTGTAGCATGTAGCTGGCAAAAATAGTTAGACATGTAAAGAACATGACCTTGAAAATTTAAGTTTTATGTATAAATTTATCTCTATCGGAATCACAGATGGCCAAAACGCGACAGTCGAGAACCTAATAACAAAAATAAATAAAGATGTTTATTATTTATTACATTGTCAACGATAATTTTTTTAGCAGCTTGAAATTTTGATCAGTATCGAAATTTGTCAGTATTTCATAATGAAATACTCAACGCAAGAAATGATCGCTCTAGTATTTATTTATGGTAAAATTGACTGGGGTTAGAGAGAGACACAGATGTCTGACTGTACAAAGATACATTTCCTAATCATACAACTATGTATTTTTATCATTGCATCGTGTGCACAATCTAATCATGCATCATGTGCGAATGTGAAAAAACAATAAAAAATGAAGAAAATATCAATGACCTTGAAAAAAAGTGACTTTGAAAGAAATCTTATTGGCCTTTTGGATACCATTCATGTTAGGCAAAAAATATTTTTTGCATCATCACAATTGACAAAGATATTTAGGTGTCCTCACTTAAATGGACCATCCTATATATAGCATAAAATATATAGTATGTATAAAATTACGGTCTTCGTCCTTGTGTATGGCATATTTCGTATAAAGCAGCGCATTGCGCGTGAACAAATACAAATTTAATATTCTCTGAAATTAGTAATAAATATAATTAAATTAATAATTATTTTTTTTATTACTATTTAATTTTATTGCTATTTAGTTATATAAAGTGATTTTATATAACAGCTGACACACGCGGCATATTTTTAATAATTCATGACATATTTTTAACAAAAATCATATTAAAATATAATTGCCTTAATTCAGCGCTAGTTTAATTCCAATTAATTCTACTGTAAGTAGAAAAATATCATCAATTATTTGAGATTCTCTCAAAATATACAGGTCTGAAAAATGTGTTAAGAATTAATTAAAAAATATACAGTTATATATTTTTGAAAAAAAATCGAGTCGAGCATCTTTATTACGCCTTCTGCCCAATTTTAAGAAATGGTTGACGGATTTTAAAGATGACGCGATAGTATGGCAAAGTACGCTGATAACAGGCATTTTATTACAATGTAATTAATTAATATATTTATAATGTCTCCGCGAGTGATGTTTTTATGTTTTTATACAGATACTGATAAAAACGTTCATCTTGTATGTAATAAATTGAGTGAATCTTTATTGGACTCCTGGAACGGTGCACGCAATTTCCAGCAAAAAAAGTGTGCAGAGGAAAGTAGGACAGAAATAAAGAGATTTTTTAAAACAAGAACCGTGTACATTTCGTATCAATGAAGAAAAATCATTTTTTGTAAATCTTGCAACAATTCTCAAAAAGAAACAAACTCGTTTTCCCGAAATTATTTATAGAAACGATGCGACTGAAAGCGCTGAGAATCTTTTTCTTTTTTACAAATTTCAAATAAACTTACTTTTTACGTTTCTCGATATTATTTCTAAAAATGCTAAGGACATATGTGTCTTGAATCGACGGAGGGAAGCTTTTTTTGTAAATTCATAACGCGAGGTAAATGTACTTTTTCCATACCCCTTTCCATTTCTAGTGTCTATAATTTCTAATATCTATTATTTTCTTATCTACGGATATCCATTATTTCTGATATCTACAGTGTGACGTGCGCGAGTGTCGTGCGCAACCGGTAGGAAACTATCGCCGTACCAAGTACGCGAAAGCGTGGAAAATTTAGCAGGAAGCCAGATACGAGGTTATCGAGTTGAAATTCTGCTATCGGGTCGGTGATTTTTCGTCCGGTCTATCGCGATATACGCGTCCGCTTGGCGGGCAAAGGTCGACACTGAAACTTCATCAAACTTGAGTGAACGCGGTAGATGCGATGCCGCGCCGCGGTTCGACGCTCAGCTTCTCGTCGATCGGACCTATCATCGAGTCGAAAGATGGAAAATTCGTACAGCGTAGCCAAGCGAGGCCAGTTTCCCTATAATTTTCCATGTGTCCTTTTCTCGCGTGTACCGGCTTGAGGTTAACGACCTGGCACGGCGGAGGCCGATTGTGGACATTCGTAAAGGCAGCAGGCAAGATTGGCGAGGGCGAGAGCCAACAACGAACACAGGCCAAGAGAACTCACGCACTCACGCTCTTCGCTTTTTGTTCTTCTCCCTCGATTCTCTGCTCTCTTTTTCTCTCTGCCCGCACCGCGCTCTCGTCGCTCATCTTTTTCCATCTCGTCACGGTGACCACGTGCGTATATAACGTATGTGAACATGTACACGCACACTACCTTGCAGCATCATTCAGGCAGGCACCTAAAATTAGCGAGGGAGTATATGGCCTAAAGAAATTTGGTAATGCGGTAATCGAACGAGGATCTTTAGGATCCTTTTCTCTTGTTAAATAATTAATTGACATTCATGATTTTAAAGTGGCTCGAGGTCGGAAGGAATCTAACATGTTGACTACCCATAATGGTTATCAGTAGCATGGTATTTATATTCTTATAAATATCTTAGAATGGTTAATATGGTGAGTATCATCGATAAAAAATTTTTAATTTTATAAATAACTATTATAGTAATATTGTATTAGTATTATTACCATACTATAATCAATACTGATATAATACTACCATCTTTATACTATAGACAGTACAATGTATAAAACTATAAAGTGAAAAATGCTCTTATTATTATTATAAAGCATAAAAATATTATAAGCATTATTATGCAATATTACAAGCACTTATATATATAAGCATAAGAAATATTTATGTTACTAAAAAATTAAATCTTAATTCTGTTTCACAAGCAGAATGTATTAATTTTTAGGATTAGTATCCATAATACTATACAAATAAGCAAGAATCTGTTTTTTACAAGTTTTATAATAATCGACTATTTAACCTAGAGCTTTGCAGTTCATAGAAATAAGTAAAATGTAAACAAGTTTGAGAGACGTTTATAGAACGATAGTAGTTATCAAAATCATTTTTAAAATAGATCATTGCTGGAAAATATACATAAGTGTACATATACATATACATGTAATGATATAAATATTATACAATATATACTAATGAATGAAATTATAAAAATATTGTATTAAAAATATAATAAAAATATTAAAATTATTAAAAAAATAATTAATGAAATATTATATAACTTGAATTTTTGTATTACATCTTATCAGCCAATTTTCGAAATGATCAATTAATTTATCAAAAAAAATAACGGTTGGAAATTATAAGTATTATACCTAAACGTGCTTTTTTTATATATTTTTTAATTATGTATATTACTGTCTTATTTCTATATACTCTTGTTTTTATTTTTACTATAGAGCCATATATAGCGTAATGTCAAAATAAAATCGTTAAAACAATTACAAATAAGAACAATTTATTGTTTCTAAAAGGAAAAAAGAAAGAAAAAGATTACGATTAGTCTAATTACACAAACAGCGCAAAATGTTAATATTACGTTGAATTATAATAGTTAAAGAATAAAATAAATCGTTATTTGGATTCTGTTATTTTCATTTATGTGTAACGAACATCTGCAGGCTTACAAGAAAAAATATATTTAACTTCTACCATGAACAACTGAGAATGCTGATATTTTAGAATGCTCTATTTAAATTTTATGTTACTAGTGATATATTATATCACAGAATATAATTTAGAATATTTAAAATCAATTCAGAGTCGTTCATTTTTTCAACTTAATTTGCATGTTGGCATCAAATTGACACAATGAGTGTCAAAAAAAGTTAAAATCATTTATAATTTATAATGTACAATTTATAATGGAAAGATAAATTATTAAATTTTCAAATTTTATTAACAATAGATGGATTAAATTTCTATTCAATTATTTGTAATTACTCTCGCATGTAGATATATTTTATACTCTAATCTCATATAGTTTATAAAAAAACATATGTCAAATTGACATTCTTGTACAAAGAATGAATTAATAAATTTCATAAATTTAATAAAATTCATGAACTATAGAAACATTAGATATATTAAAATCTGAAAATATATTTTTTCTGCTTCACAAATTTTTTTTTTTGCAACAAATGATAATTTGATAAGACATTCATTTTGATATGGCACTGTATGTACCTAATTATCGTTAAGGATTTGTTCCAAAAACGCAATTTTATTCAAACTTACCAAAAAAATTTTCATACTTCCAATAATTAATTAAGAATTAACGAATCCGAGGTATCGTTTCGTTATTTTGATAGATTTGATAGTTGTAGCGTCAGTGGTCAAAGTTCAAAGAAATATGAAGTATTCGAGCAAACTTTCACCAAGTATCCGTGTATCGAAATACATATAACGTGAATGTTACGATCTCGAAGGACGGCGAGTTAGAGAATATCCATCGACATCGACCCCAGAGCAACTCTCGGCTCCGCTCTGTGTTCCTCTTCTCAAGAGAGGTTCTACTCATCTCGCGTTCTACAGAGTCGGTTCGAATTCTCTGCGGTTTCGCCTCCGCTGCTTTGGTTCTTTATCGCCACTGTGTCAGAGGCCATTAACCTCTTCTACTCGGTTTCTTCTTCTTCTTCTTCTTTTTCTCCTGGCGTTTCAGCTTCCGCCGCCTCTGCCCCCCTTCACCGATCGAAGCAACTCTCCTCGTTTCACTAGATCGTGCCTCTTCTTTCTTTCCTCGCCGGGAGATCGCTACTATGGCGCTTATCTGCCGTTTCTCCCCTCGTGTATCTTGCGATTCCTACTCTGCCGTGGTTACTTGGTCGCTTGGTTACTTGGTTACTCGGTTACCGAGGTACCGGAGGAAAAGGACCTCGGTTCCTCTGTCGATTTCTGCGAAACTAAACAGTCACTGTTCCTTTTCACGTCTCGTTTCTCTTTCTTTTTCGTCTCTTTTCCTTTTTCTCTTTCCTTCTTCCTCCCTCTCCTTGCCTCTTTCTTTCTCTCTCTTTCTCTTGCCCGTTCGCTTTTGTTGTTTCCCCTCTGTTTCGTTCAGCCGTCATCAAAGAAATGCTCGTTAACCCTCCCAATGTTGAGCTACCAGTTCATTTGACAGCCTCGATGTCTCGACTTTGAACGCGTTGAGTCTGAGCCAGCGACATTTAAATAAAATTATACCTTGTATTTCGACTGCTTAACTGGTTTGTATCTAAAAATAGTAATCCTTTATTACTTAGTCTTTCATCGGTATCTCTGCGATATTATAAAACTAATTGTTAAATTTACTCACTTTGTTAAATTCAACGAAATTTATGACGTTTCGAAAGTCAATGTAACAATACCTAGTTATTAAATAGATTAATTCTCCATAATCAAATAAAATTGTCTTTCCACGTTTCCAATGCACTGAAGCTTAATTATTTGGGTATAGATACACGTTATATGAAAAGAAGTGGTTTCGAATGTTTCATCGTTTTCAACAACATTTTTGCGCTCGAAATACGGACAAATTGTCCGTCACGCGAAAAAACAACGTTTTACGTCGTGATTCTCGTCCAATTCCAAACAAATGGCCATGGCTACGCTAATTTATTGTGTAATTTATTGTAAATCAGAGAATTAACGAAATTCGTCGATGCGGTTATGCAAACGAATTACGTTTCGTTGGATTGGATCGCTGTGTGGTGGTACGATGACTTCGATCCGATGGAAATTATTACTTCGAGACCAAATTATTTGATGGAAATGATAATTTCACGCGTTCAGCGACGATATTACGTAACAATTTGACGGAAAGAGATTAAAAGAGATTTTACTGCTGATGAACGCAGTGTACGATAGTAAATGTTGCATAAAACCGATTACACAAATTATCACGTAGATAAGATCTTCACTATATAGTTAAAAATTATGGCCACGTTGTGTATTATATAGAATACCTATATTATGCAATTCTAATAAATGAGACCTAATTTTAATAAATAAAATGTCCGAGACAGCTTGTAAATCATGAAAAAAAGCGTAGCAGAAAAAATTGTGAATGTCGGAAGAAAAATATTAATAATTAACTGACTCAGCGTCGTAGAATAAGAAACACGAATAATAACTGATACAGTAATCGATTTTATTTTTTTCCAATTATATTCATTTATTGAAAACATACATATATATAAATGTCTAAAAAAAAAAAACATACATGGTATGCTGATGTAAGAAATAAGTAAAGCAGGAAAAATAATTTAATCGTAAGCATATAAAAACTTATAATTAAGGCTGATTTATTGCGTCACATTTCAACATGCTTTTATTAATTCATTTTTATTAATTTGAAGATTAATTATTAATTTTAATTAATTAACCTTTAGATAATTAACAATGTTTTCAAGAAATTATGAAAAGTGATTATTATGATATTAGATCAATTTTTCATTCTTTTTAATATTCTTTTAATATTCTTCAATGCACGAAAGTTTCCTAAAAGTTCACGTTTTTAACTATTAATTTTAAAGTTGTTTTAGTAATTATTGAAAAAAGTTCAGGTCTAAAGGAAATTTAAACTTAATTATTATTATGTCCAGTAATTATAATAATTTTAATTTTAATAATTTTTGGTATACAAGATGGCATATCTAAAATAAGTTCAAATACATGTATTTGTATGTATAATAAGTAAAATACATGTATTTGTATGTATAATATAATATTACATAACATTATAATATTATACTATCACATTATATTATATTATTATACTATAATATATACTACATAATAAAGTAGCTTCAAAAATTAATTGTCAAGAAATTACCATGTGCACTAAAAATTATAACTATTGGTGATTAATGAATGTAGTTACGTAATTTTATTTTGCTACGGAGTATAAAAAGAATATGAAAAAATTTCAGTAATCAATTTGATTTTAATTTTATACATTTCTACACTTTATTTGTTAAATAAAGATTTTACAGCAATATTAAAACATCCGAATTTAATTTTATTTATACAGGATAAAAATTAACAGATGTACAAGCACAAAGTGAAAAAAATAAAAATTAACAGATACATAAAATCAGTGAGCCAAATAAAATATGACTAATAAAATTAAACTAAATTACAACAAATAACTAAATTGCTATTCTTGAAATGAAATCAAATTGAAAGAAAAAAGCCTAGATCTTTACAAGGTCTAAATTTAATGAGGGATGTTTAAAAGTAAAAGAAATTGTGTGTTAAGTTTGATTAGACTCAAAAATTTCGGATTTCTTAAATGAAATGTACAAACTGCATTTCTTGACAACACATAATATTATAAGACGAGTCATACAGTTCTGTGTTATAATAGAGAATTTTTTTCTATCTGCATATAGAGATTTAAAAATATACTTTATAAGTGCTGTCGTTTAAAATTTTAGCATTCACAAACCAATAATTATATTTAAAAAAAAAGCACTTATTAGCTATAAGACACTTCGTATTCTTTACAAGGAATCAATATGTGAATTATATATTTTATTTTGCATTAACAGTTTGTAATGCCACTT